TTAAAAAAAAAATGTGGTCACTTCATTTTGGAGTAGATATCCTGATTTGGCAGAGCAGTTATCTAGGTGATCGATGTGCAGTTTTCAGGCTTTTCAACTTTTTTTTTTTTTTTTTTGGAACTGTCTTTGGAAACGCACTTCCTTTTTCTAAACAGAGAAGGGCCAAAATGGCCCACAACCAGCTGAGTCCAGAAAGGCTCTGTGTGCAAAAGCATACTGGAAAGTAGGTTACCATGGAGGATATTTGCTGACGGGATCGAAAGACAGCTTTCAGATGATTCCAAGTAATGATCCAAGAAGACAGGAGCTTGCAGAGCAAAGAGCGAGAGGCTCTGTGTGAAATTATTTTATAAACTGCCTTCTGAGGCCGTTGTCTTTTATAGGGAATGCAGAGGTGCCTTTCCTTACCTGTGTAGGGCTGCTGAATAGCCCACTGAAAAGGGCTGCGAGGATCATAGCGTTCAACTGTTGTTAAATATCCTGTCTGCATTATCTACTCACATCTGATCTGCATTTCAGATCAGTCGTTTCAACATATAGCACACTGGGTTCTGATGCTCTGTGCATGTTGTAGAGGGTGGTATGACAAACCCTTTTGTATTGTCCAGGAGGAATCCAGAGACTTTACCTGGAAGCACCTCTGGGTCTGCAACGTCTGGTGTTCTTCAGTTTTGCAATTTCTTGACAAAGTGAACCACAATAGGATTCTAACACTGCCTGGCAACATCAGTGGTTTTCTATTGGAATAAACCTGCTACATGTGTATGTCTGTACACACTGCTCCAGGCCTGCATTTTTCAAGTGGGCTGTTCCCAGCTCTGTCCCAGGACATTCTGAGTGGCTGGGGTATGCAATGTAAATGACACCCACTCAGAGAGGCTTTTGAGTACCAGTTGTGCCAGTGGCTTTGATATGTGGGTACATGTCCATGCAGAATAGACCCAAAAGCTATAGCATTTGTTGCACTGCCAGCAGGGACAGCAGAGCAGGTTATGCTCTTTGTGCCTGCTGCAATACCTTCACAGGACCCAAGGAGCTGAAGAGTGTTAGCACGAGAGGCAAAAGGGGGAGCAACCCATGTACTCACCTGTGACAGTCATGCCAGATCCAGGCGTGGCGGCCATTCTTTGGGCGGAAGTCAGACTGCCCGTTGTTGTGGATCTGGGAGGAGAACCGCAGGAGCCTCCGGTAGCCTGAGGTAATGGATGTGTTGGCGGCAGAGGAAGCCAGGCAGTTCTCCTCCAGCGCACACTGCAACATGAACATTGGCCGGTCCTCCAGGTAGGAGGTTTGCTCCACCAGCTCAGCGTTGAGCACCAGGTCAGGGGCAGCTGAGGGCAGGGAGAGGAAAACGTGACACCAGCTTCTTGAGAGATGTCTACACCAAAGCAATGGCCTGCCATGCACTAGTCACATCTCAGCTGCATACACTGGCTTGGCACCCTAGCCAGAACAGGTATTAGCCAGAAGTCAGTGCACCAGCTTAACCCTCTGCAGGAAGCCATGCACAAGCCAGCCAGCTCAGGCAAAGGAAGCTAAGGGAAGTAAACCAGTTTTGAAGAGAAGCAGGGCACATTGAGGGTCATGGGAAAAAGGAGGAGGTGATCAAGGGAAGACCTGCAGCCGATAGAGAGTTTGAGGAAAGGACAGGGGAGAAATCCAAATACAGAGCCCTCCAAGCAGTTTTATACCCTGTTCTCCACCCCCTGCATCCTGGACATTTTAGTGCTGCATTTCTCATGCAGTCCCTGGCCCCCCTCCCTGTCCTTTCCTGCATCCCATAACGGGGATGGCTCCAGTATTGGCCTTGGTTGTCTATGCATCTTGAATAAGAGAAAATAAAAGGAACTCACTTTCTGAGCAGGAAACTCCTGCAGCAAAGCGGCCACCACCCCTGGGACATGAAACTCTGGCACCATCATGCCGACAGTGACCCAGGGACATCTCCGTGCCTGAACACTTCACGCCGCTCATAATGACATCATCAGCACTGATGTCTCCATGCCAGTACCAAGTTTCCTAGGGAAAGGGACAGAAACAGGTTATTGGATACACATCTCGGCCTTTTGAAGGCTCAGATCAAGTGTAATAGCCGCAGCTTTCTTACAGGAGGGGCACATGCCATCAGCAGGACAGATCTGGATGGTGTTAAAGCCGGCATCCTGCATTTCTGAATTCCAGATGCAGAAAGTATATGAGAAAGACAGTAACAAAGGAGACAGCATGAAGTTTTAGGTTAAAAGGATGTGCATTTGCATTTGGAACAGGCAACAAAGCCCTCTTCTGCTGCAGGGAGAAGCGGTGCTCCCCACACAGAAGCCTATTTAGCAAAGCAGCACCACTCTGAAAGAGGCTAGCAACTCTGAATGTGCTCTCAGTCTCCTCTGTTTTGGGGCGCAGAGAATCATAGAAAATGAGGGTTGGAGGGGACCTCAGGAAGTCATCCAGTCCAACCCCTTGCTCAAAGCAGGACCATCCCCACCTATATCATCCCACACAAGACTTTGTCTACGTAAGCCTTAAAACACCTTTAAGGATAGTGATTCCACCACCTCTCTGGGTAACCTGTTCCAGTGTTTTACTGCCCTCCTAGGGAGGACGATTTTCCTAATATCCAAATTAAACCTCCCTTGCTGCCACTTGAGACCATTGTTCCTTGTTCTGTCATGTGTCGCCACCGAGAACAGTCCAGCTCCAGCCTCTCTGGACCCAGCCTGCAGGTAGTTGACGGCTGCTATTAAATCCCCTCAGTCTTCTCTTCTCCAGCCCAGCTCCCTCAGCCTCTCCTCACAAGTCATGTCCCCTAGCCCCCAAACTATTTTTGCTGCCCTCCGCTGGACGCTCTCCAATTTGTCTGCATTCTTTTTGTAATGGGAGGTCAAAAACTGGACACAGGACTCCAGACGTGGCTTCACCAGTGCTGAACATAGGAGAATAATCACTTCCCTCAATCTGCCGGCAATGCTCCTACTAATATCTATTTGCTTCAGTCACAAAGCCAGGTCTTCTTTAGAAGGCATCTCTAACATGCTCTGTTCTAGAGAAGACGGAGGGTTTTGATCTTAACTCCACATTTTCAAAAACAGCTGGTGATTGTTGGTGTCCAACTGCAAACCCTTTAAAGGGGCCTAATTTTCATATAGCACTGAGCACCTTCTTCCTGAAAATCAGTCTCTGTTAAGGGATATCTCTCTCAACATGGGCACCGAAATCACCAGTCCCTTCAGAAAATCTTTGTCCCACCCTTTATGGGCAGAGCATGACCTTGGAGCCATGTCTGTAACCCAATGATTGGTGCTCCATGCAAAGATCTGGCTTCTGTGCCAGTCTTGGTCATGAACCACATGTATTTTTATATCTCCTGGACCAGGGTGGGCAATTATTTTGGGCAGAGGGCCACTTACAGAGCTTTGGCAAGCCATCGAGGGTTTTCTAAATTAATTTTCTAAATTTTTTAGGGGCCCTGTGGGCCAGTTAGAAAAGCCTGGCGGGCCACATCCGTCCCCCAGGCCGCATTTTGCCCACCCCTGTCTAGAGCAAGGCTAAGATTTGCCCAAGGTGATTTCATTAAAGTATGAAAAGTTAACATGCCTTGGTTCTAAATTCACCAGCTCACCAGGCTTTGGCAGCCAGCTTGGAAACACAGGAGCAGCTCAGTAAATGGTGAGCTGTGCAGTTCATCAGCTTTTCCACACACAACCTTTATCAGGAGCTGCTACTAATCAGCTGATTGTGAATTCCTTAGCACTTAATGGCACCATGCCCCCCTGAGCATCTGGGCAGCCGCTGTTATACTCTACTATGCTATACTATGTGCTATGCACTGGCAGCAGACAACAAAGACATACATACAATAGCTGCTCTAAGTGGAGTGCAAGCAACACTTGTGCCCAGTTACCAGAGGGCAAAGTTAAAGAAACACGATTATTTTCTTTTCCTAAAAAAAAATAAGGAACTAGGGGGAAAAAAAAGCTAACTTAACAATATCCAGATATTCAGATACCACAGTTTAATCTGTCAGTTTATTAACACAAGAATTCCTGTTTCAGGTTTGCTGCAGCTTTGCAGAAATTGAGATCTTCATTAATAAGCCATCAGTGAGATGCTTTGACTAGTCTGCAACCCACTGTTTTATGCTGCTGAGATTTTGTACTGTACTAAGTCAAAGGAGTGCTACAGCAATCTCTGCGCAGTTTATATAGTTGCCAACATAAAGCATAGTCAGAGCTTATACCCCCAGGTCCCATCCCACTCCATCATGCTTTAATCACTGCAATTCATACTAGGCAAATTGTAGCAATCTGTGTGCATGACCTGAAACTGTTGCCAGAAGGTATTTTATCAGATGGAGCCTCCTGCTTGCAGTGAAAGTACTGAAGTCCCTGAGCTATCTCAGACATCTCATATAATACTTAACACTTCACATCTTCAAGGCACCATACAGACTACTTAACCTATACAACATCCCTGTTGTTTGTGCCATACAGGTAGTGATAGTGAGGAAAAGAATGATAAATAACTTTTCAAGGGCCACACAATAAATCAGTAGCAGAAGAAAGAATATAATTCAGGGGATCTGACTACACATGAGATCACAATGTCCTCCCCAACCCCCCTGCATATGAGAGATGACCCTTAGGGCCAGGGACAGACATTATACATAAACCAGTTTAAGTGATCAGAAACTGGTTTAAACCTGGAAGAGAACAGATGTTCAGTGCGCATAAACCAGTTTGAAAATGGCTGAAACTGGTTTGAGATAAGTCTGATACTACATTCAGCCAGGTTTAACTGATTTGGCCCAAACCAGTTTATGCAATGTCTGTCCCAGACCCCTTGCTGGTTTAAGATGAACCAGACTCCCCCAGCATCCCAGCATGCTCTCTGGGCTGGGCAGGGCTCTCTGCTCCACAGCAGGGCTGGCCCCTCCCCTCTCCTCCCTCTCTGGAGCTCCAGCAGAGACTGCAGGCATCTGCCTGGCTTCTCCCTGCTAAGCAGGGATTATTCCCCCGCCCCTCTGCTTTACACAGACTCCTCTCAGCAGTACCTAGCAGACCACATGCTGGCTACAGTCTGTGCTGTAGGAGACGACAGAGGCAGGCAGGCTTTTTGGAGCTAATCAACAGGTTGCTTAATGCCCTTCCTTGGAAGAGCTGTTTAAGAAGAGCTCCATTAGTTAATGGAGAGAAGCTTTGTTTTCTTAATGGGTTGATAAACACTGAGTTAGGGATGACACCCATTCCCTGCTGGGCTGCTTGGGGCGGGGGGAGGAATAATTAAAGCACAGGGGCCTGGCCACATCTCCCTCAGCTCAGCCCCATGCAAACAAAAGGAGGGCTGCTCTAGCGCCCCCACCCCGACCCCGGCTTCTAGCCTGAGCCACTGCAGGCACCTGCCTGCATTTCTGGGATGTCTGTCCAGTTACAAAACTGATTTAGCCCAGAAGTCTTGCTTCCCAAGCCCTCTTGGTAGACATGAAAGCTGAAGTTCATCTCTAATCCAATTTGGCTTAAAACTCTGCCCTGCTGTCATCCAACTCAAATTCCCATCTCCACCCAGCTCTCTCTGTCCAGTTTATGAATTCATCCTCAGTTTGTTTTCCAGTCAGATAAGCTGCCACATTGGGTTAGATGGCAAGCAACTAATCCCATCTCCTTTGCCACATCTGTGCAGCATGGAAGACAACAGGAAGCTCTAGAGTGAGATCAAAACACTGGTACATGACTAATGGCATGCACCAGGCCAGCAAACTACAAAGAGCATTCAGGAGCCAAACCCATCCCCACAGCAAGGCCCTCTCCAAATATCATTTGGAGGCCAAATCCTGAAGTCTCTGATGCCTCAGGGGGTTTGCATGGTTCAAAGGCATAGCTTGCAAGATCCTTGTCAGAAAGGTCATGCACTCTCTGGACTTTGTGAAGTGCTGACTGCTCAGACCAAAGAGGCACTTCTCTTACTGTGGGTGAAGCAGAAGCCTGGGATCCAGATTCTTCATCTGAGAGTTTCAAAGCCATGGAAATTCATGGACAATGTGTTAAAATTCCTGTCCTACTCTGAAAGCTCTCAGCCTGTGCACTTCTGCCACTGCAGAACAAAACCTTTCTGTGCTTCAGTTCCCCTCTCTATATAGGGACAGCGATTCTCTCCCTCCCTGACAGGATTGCCAGGAGGCTCAACTGTTTAAGGGGACAAATGATCTAACAACTAAGGCACTCATCTGGGATTCAAGGATCAATTCCTAGCTCTGCCACGGTCTCACTGCTACACCTTAGGCAAGTCATGTAGCTTCCCTGTGCCTTAGCACTTATCTCATTGCTCTTTTTCCTACTTCAGTAGGTCTTTTCTACTTGAATTGCAAGCTTTGCAGGGCAGGACTGTCTCTTACTATGTGTTCATACCATGCCTAACCCTAATCTTGCTACTGTATTCCTATTTGAGAAATTCCCGGAGATGTTTGGATGAAGAGAATTTCATCTCCTTGGTGAGAAATCACCTTATTCTGCTCTCCTCTGAGGAAGCATCAAAGCTGAGACCCCCTTTCAGAAGAGGAGGACATCCTGCACCAATGCTCCTGTTGCAACACCTTTGTTAGCAATCCCTTTTTTGCACACATATGTGCACGCGGGGCTGTTCCTCTTCCACACATGTTGCTTTATGTTCTTGTATAAGATACAGCCTGGAACCATATAAGGACTTCTTATGTTCTCAATACCAGCAGCCCCTGCAGAAGGAAAATACCTTCTTTCAAGCCGGGCTATCGGTGCTCTGTCAGCTGGGAAGAACGCCGTTAGATGCACACAGCTGCCCTGGGTTTTCACACTCCAACTTGGCAGCCGCACAAGAAAATAAATGGAAAACCAGCAAAGTGGTTAGTGTAAGTAGATTGCTGCACTAGCTGTGAATGCAAAGTCTTGTATGCGGAGACTGCAGCAAAACTAAAACCCGCACCCTCCCTGACCTGGAGAATTAGGGCCCTCTGAATGGCGCTGGTGACATGAAGGTGGGTGACCACCACTACCATCAGGACAGGTTTGTTCTCCCACTTAGAGGACAGACATTCAGTCTCTGTAGGTCTTCCAGGGACCTGTACACAACACTACTGCCCCTGCAACTGCTGAACACTTAAGTTGTTTGCAATATGCCCCATCAATATGGCTTAATATCTAAATCTTCTCCCTCAGTATCCCAGACCCAGGATACGTAGGAAGCAATAATTTATCTACAAAAAAGAAGCATTTCCTGGACCCAAATGTGAAAGAGGAAACCACCACCTTTGTTTATAGTCTCTTTTCACTATCTGATGAACTTCCCTAATTGCCTTCAGGATGCTTCGCTCACCTGATAAACCTTACACTTTACCTCCCTGACCCCCACAAATCATTTCAATTCTATATACTGCTCTTCACACCATGTCCAAAGCTACTCTGCAGTGTTTCAGCATGCTTTTAAAGGGCTAATGCATTCATAGGAGGAGGTGCCTATTTTTTTTTTTTTAACGGCAATAAAGAATGTTCATCTAGACAGTCTGTGCATTAGTTTAACAGTTGCGAGGGTCCCTTGGGATTAAAATCATGACAAACATTGTACCAAAAGTTCAGCAAAAACCAGCAGAAAGGTGTTAGAAATTGGTGCCCTGAAAAGACAAAGGTGCTTCCAGATGTCTTATTTTTCTTGGCAGTCCTGCTATTTCTGTCCCTAGCCGAAGGGTCACATCCCTGGCATGTACCTATCAGCCCTGCTAAACTTCATACTGCCATATGTTAGAGCAAATGATTCTGACCTCACCGTGAGATAAAGACTCTGAGCCATGCATTTCTACAGAGGAATTCCTGGTGATCTCTGAGTTTGACTTGGAAGATGACAAAGCAAGTCACGAACCTACTTTGAGCTGATGCTGGTTATGCTCTGCAGGTATAACAGTCATGTTGTAGCCAATGATGTCATGGGGGACTTAAAAAACAACCCCCCCGCCACACACACACTCCTTAGCCTGCTCACTGAATCCTCTGCATTTTTGTAGCAGTGCTGCAAAGCTAGTCCTGCCTCCCTGGCTGATGCACGTGGGGAAGAAGAATGGGGCCAAATCTCTGGGTCCTAAGGGACTTGGAAGGTACCAGGGAAGGGGGTGTGGAGTCTCTCTATGCTTGGGAATAAAATGGCTGCCATCTGATTACCAGCTAGGGGCTTTTATGAAGAAGAACGTATTTTACAGTGGGGATCTAAGAGATGCCTGTCCACGATATTTACACCACCATCACTGCTGGCTTTCTGAGCAGGAAGGCCAAGCACAGAGCAAGCCATAGTGACTGAATCATCACACTGCTCAGAGGTAGACCCTCTAAGCAAGGGCTGAGGTACGCCTGAGGAGAAGCTCACCCAGATCCTGCCCAGGCTATGCAGATAAGCATGGCATAAGGGCAAAGCTACCATCATTTGCCTCAGCTCAGGTCAACCCGCAGGTGCGCGAGGAGAGGGTGACACACCTGAAAGGCATGGCTAGCAAAACCAAGGCCCAACTGGCGACAAACCACCATAGCTTCCACGGTGCTCCAGTTCTCGCTGCAGACTGTCCCCCACTTCAAGGTCCCATTGCGCTCCATGAGGACTTCTACCCGGCCCTCGTATGGGTTGCGGCCACCACTCAGACGCAGCTGGAGGGGAGGAAAAAGAAAAAAGATTTCCATTCAGCTCTCTAAAAGCAATTGCCAGGAATTTCTCTGCTGACCTAGTTCCACGTATGAAGAGATGCCGGGCTTGCAGAAGTGGGCAGCAGAATGAATTCTCCACTCACATTTGAATGTGTTATTTATAAAGCCATGTTAGAGCTGGTGGTATACAGAGCTATTTGCAACAGATGGCATGGGACAGTTCAAAGTCTTCGAGTTTTATCAAAGCTTGTGGTTAGGGCACCAGACTGAAGCAATCCAAGTTCAATGCTGGCTCTGCCACAGATTGTGTGATCCTGGGCCACTCAGTTAATCTCTCTGGCTTCTGTCCTGTAACAGACTGATGATCACACTGCCCTTCTCTAATCCTTTGGCTATCTGAGGAACTGACTGGATCATTCCTGTGGTCTAATTATTCTAATGTCCTCTCTCTAGTGGGAGCCAATACCAGTTGCTTCACAGGCAGCCGAAAGAATCAGTGCTGCTGGCAGTTATCAAATAAAATGCCCCCAAGCAATGTTTTGCCCCAGCTCCCATAGTTAGAGATTGGGTTATGCCCTAAAAGCAGGAGGTTTACAGGTCTTGCCTATATGTTATTGCTCCATCTAGTTAGATTGCATGCCCCTTAGGGCAGGGAATCTCTCTCACTGTGTCCTGGTGTAGCACCCAGCACAACGGGGTCTCATTCCAAGTTGAAGACTCTACACACTAGTGTACTGAGAATAAACCACAGCTCATTTGGATAAGCAGGAGCCTGAACCAAACCCTCAGGGCAGCTGGAATTATTTATCAAGTGCTGAGTGTATGACATGCAAATGGCGATCTGCACCTTTCTTGCTTAGATCTCGGAGCCCCCTACCAAAAAAATCCAGTGCCACGATCCCGATGTTACACATAATAGAGGAAGAGACTGCCCAGGGTTATACTACAGGTCAAAGGCCCAACAGAGAACATAACCCAGACCTCCAACCTCTCAGCCTAGCAAGCCAACTAAACGATCAATATAAAACCTTTAAATTGTTCGACATTCCTCAAAAGATTTGCAGATCTTAACATGTCTGTCAGTGACCTTTTTTCTCTTTTCCCTCCCAACAATTATCCTCTATATCTATATTACAAGTTTGCCAGGGCATAGGCTTTCTCCCTGTTTATCGAGGCCTACCACAGCAGGGCCCCATGTGCTACCAGAACACAAAAACTGAACGGTTGCAAGCACACAGGGCTCAAACATGGCCTAGGCTATGAGCTGACTCTGCACAGGGAGGAACCACGTGCCTGCAGTGACACAAGGCACTGGACTTAGATAGCATCAAGGAGTGGCCTCACAGAAAAATAAGCAGCTGGGGAAATAGTGTTCCACTGCTCAAAATGTATTTTCCTCTCTGGTCTAATACAATACAGATGTTCAAACGAAATGGTACAAGAAGAGCTGAGCCAAAATTATTCCAACATAAATCACAAGCGCCTGCTGTTCTTCCTGCCAAGAGGGTCTGGAGCCAGTGTCTGAACGTGAGTTGAAGTGCTGTGGCAGAGCACCAGCAGCTGCCACAAACTTTTGCAGGAGCCCACAAACTGCCTCCAGACAGGCCCAGCCCCACAGGTTTCCCCACTACACCACCCTTCTCTTTTTTCTGTGTCATATAAAGAAAATAAGCTACCACATATCTGATTAGTAAGTTTAACTGAAGCTATGACTGGATTCCAAGCACAACTGCATTTTATTACTTCTAAAAAGAGCTGGGATTCCCAAGATAACCTCACAGGGCGCTGCCCTAGAGGCTTCTGCAGGGTGAGGGACTGGGACACCCTGCTTGACACACATAGCACCTTGCTTGCAAATGCGGCTAAGTTTCCCTGTGCCATTCAGCACCCTGGAATGAAAGTCCTTTCCAGATATTCCCGAGTACTCTTTAAGGGAGAGCTGCATTATAACCTTCATTTTACAGACAGCAAAACTAAGAAACAGAGGAGGAGTTTATGACCATATTTCCAAGTGGCCTCTGTGTTCATCACTCCCTGGGCACCCAGCTTTAGACACAGAAGGACAGATCCACAAAGGTGCCAACTCCTATCTAGGCACAGACTCCCTTTGAAATCAATGGGATCTAGGTGCCTAAATACCTTTGAGAATCATGGCCCTCTCTGAGCACTAGCCTCTCTCATTGATGCCAAGTGCAGTCAGGTACCAGGTGTTTAAAGCTGGGCAACCAGAAGACAGATGCACACAAAAATGTTAAGTCTCCTTTAGAGACTGACCTTAAATGATCTCCCCAGGTTCACACAGGAAGTCTGTGTTTGAACGGAGAGCACAGCCCAAGCCAAGTGGCTAAACCACAATGGCATCTCTGCATAAAACCTCCCAGTACACTTAAAGGGCTATCGGGTTAATTCAAACAGGCCACCTCAACTATGGAAGTCTCTCCAGGGAAGATGCATAGCAGTTCAATGATAAATCTGCCCTTGGGGCATTCTTGAGAAAAGCCTCTGTTGTCCTCATAGGGAAAAACTCCCCGTTATGCAGAGCCAATGCAAAGTCACCATACTAAATCCTACCTGAATGTCAGGGTGCGATATAAACGGCACAAAGACCACTACAGAGCCACTGTGGAGAAGGGAATTTTACCCTTGGCCCTTTGGCACCGACATGAAAAGGCAGAATGCACACGATCAGGATCAGTCAGTCCATCAGGAGCCACAAGCCTTGGGATTGCCTTTGGAAGGCACAGCTGTTGAATCCTGGTATTTCCTCGGAGTATTATTTTTCACTGAAAAAACATAGCCCCAAGACAACTACTCTCTGTCTCCTCTGAAAGGTGTTTGATTGCAGCTACAGAACATCAGGTAGTTGTTGCACCATTTTGTTTTCCAGGAATGTTGAACATAAATAATATCTCGAGGCCAGTAATTACACGAAGCAGTCTGAGCCACACAATTCCTGGCACACAACAGAGCTTGAGCCTGTCTTTTATCATCAGGCAATCCACACAATACATTTCCTCTCCTCATCTCCAATCAAATGCACAGGATTATTTTAGGGCCGATGCCTTGTGTAAAGGTAACCGAACATTCTTAAAAGGACAGCTACCCTCTATACGATTGTAGCATTAAAACCAACTCGGGGCATCACTCTTCTTCCAAAACACAGACAAAATGACAGGAGAGATCTCATATTAAATTCATTTCCTTTAAACAGCTTAATGAATGTGCATGTTCCCACTCATAAAGACTTCCAGGCTAAGGAAGTTAATACTTAAGCAATGATTGTTTTATTTCTATAGTAGATTTATAAAGCCACTGCAAAGCTGAAGAGGCCGCTCTGCTTAACGGAAAAACCTATTTGGTCATCGCCCAAGTCACCTGGGCGCTTGGCTTTTATCTCCCACTGACCTTGATGTTTAGGAGTCTCAGGGCTTAGGTGTCAGATTTTTAAGAGGTATTTTACTGTTAGCCCAGGACAATTTTCAACTATGTATTTTACAGTGTTTTCTCCAATCTTCTTTTCACTGCTCAAAAATGACAACGGTTCTACCACTTCCTTTGAGTTACTATTCCCACAGTCAATTAGATGTTTTAACAGGCCTTGTAAGCACCTGGAAAGAAGTCACTAAGCTTGCTATGCTTTTTTATCAAGAGAATTTGGCTTCTTACCTGATTCTGGAAACCCATGGCTGGAACATTGCACCTTACAGCAGCATCTTCCTCATGATTACAACGCAGCGCCTCCGTATTGAACTTGCAGTCCGTGATGGATTTTTCTGACCCTGTACATGTTATTTCATTTAGGTGAATAGGACCGATCCCTTCAAGAGAAATAAACATGTAGTCATTATTCCCACACATTATTCCCAAGGTGAGTGCACCTAACAGCAATAAAACATTATATTGTAAGGCACAACAGCATCCAGATTCCAACACACTATTCTTGGGAGAATCTATGTCATTTCTACTAAGGTCATCTCACAGCTTGTTTTTAGTCTTCAGAAATTATTTTCAGTAGTCTACTTTTTTTTCAAAATGGGCCAAAAAGAAAAGAAAAGCCAAGTTTCCATTGCTCTGCAATTTATAGACTTCAGCCAGAGAATTTTTAAAATTATGACCCATTTTTCTGGCAGGGTTTATACAACAGGAACCTGCACTTGATCAAGCCCTTACATTTGAAATGGCAACACATATATCTATTTTCCAGAACAGTAGGACAACTTATGCAGGGATTTATAAAAACCCAAGCAAACAAGTAATCTCAAATACAGGTGTGCCATTGAGGAGTCCAAGAAAACTGACATTAATAAGGATCCAAGAATGGGAATATTGGTTGTTACCAAAGAACTGACTTGAGACAGCTACAGCAGCAGTCCCCCCATCGCCTCAGCACAGTAATAGATGTGTGTTGAAATAGCTCACGCCTGACTTGCAACACTGAAATGCTTGCAAGTAATCAACAGTTTGATCCAATCGGGCTGTAACTTCCACCCAGTAATGCCATGTTACTATTCATCAGAAAAGGGCAGAAAAGTGCAAGCACAACACACATGGGGGCAGTTGGGATCAGTTAGCAGCATCCTGGCTTTTATCAGCTCGTTGGGGCTTCATGCTTTATCTTGATTTCTGCCTGCTGGCTCCTTGCTCCAGATTTGCCAGATCCTGACTTCCCCTCAACCCCTTTGCTCTAGACACTTTATTTCATTCTAGACTCATGACGTGGCATGTTTTGCAGATGGTTCATTTAATTGCAGCACACTGATGACTATATCAACCTGACATCCAGCTACTGCTTCCTGGTAAGTAGCTAGCTTTTGCAGGACAATGAAAATAGAAGGTACTGCCCAGAAATGAGTTTTCCAAGAGGATGAGAAGTCTGCCCACAGTTACTAAATGTAAAATTACCTCCCCCCTCCCACACGTACCCAGTCAGCCCTTTCCGCAAGTTAGAAGAAGCAGAAATATGAACGGGCAAACATTACAGAGTTGTTTCCTTTTTGACATGTACGGCACATAGCAATTGCTGCAGAGAGACAGTCGAATCTATTTCTGATTCTGTCCTCGGAAGGACAGAAAACTGTGCTGCAAACACCTAATGGCAGGCAGGTGAAAAAAGAAGGGGAGCAATATGTTTATTACCAAGATTGACAGGTGCAGCTGATTTTTTAGTCCCCGATATCATGGGGCTAGAGACCCTGTGCAATATTGAGGCTCCTCACACACATCATAAGAAACAGTTCACGCCCTGAAGGGTTCACCTTTCATATAGGCAAGGAGGAAGTAGAATCTCATCTTCTCACTGTACACCCAAGAAACCAAGGTACTAAGAATTTAAATGACTTGCCCAAGCTGACACAGCAAGTCAATGGCAGAGCCAGGGACAGAACCTGATCTTCTGAGCCTCAGCCACAAAACCATCTTCATGTAGTCCTCAACAAAGAAATATATGTATTTTCTCTTTTTAACCTCCACCTCAGAAGAAACAGCTGAGGAAGAAAGGCAGCAGATGATAGTTGGTTTAACAGTAGTAGGACCCTTTTCAGTGGGTATGGCTCCCACCCCCCTTTTTTCTTCTTTCTTTTGAAAACTCCTATTGAATCTGACTGACAGCCAGCAAGCAGAGGCTGGAGAACTAGGGGCCCAGATGTGCACAGCTGTTTGTTAGCTACAGTCTAAACAATCAGCCTGAGAATGTGCCACATGGTCAGACTTCTGCAGTTTCAAGAGAGGGCAAAGTACACAGGGGCTCCTCATGCCACTTCTGAAGAACATTTTTATTTACTGTTTCCTTCCTTAATTCATAGAACAATTATAAGAGCTGGGGATAGAAAGGAGCAATCACATCACCCAGACCATAGCCGATGGCCTTGATGTTTCTCTTCCTTGATACTTGGACCTTGATATTGCCCTCAGACTAAGCTAGGCATAAGATTTAGAGGACATTAACACTGGAAACCAAGAGGGAATCTGCTTTTCACAGAACATTATCCTAAAATCAGAGGGTTGGAAGGGACCTCAAGGACCACTTAGTCCAATTCCCTGTGCAGAGGCAGGATGCACTATTCCTGTACCCACTTTTCTGTCATACTGAAAAATCTTTCTTGTAATCTATATTCAGAGAACATTCAGAGAGGGCAAAATTAATGCAATTGTTCTGACCTCTGTCAAACAGGTCAAGTAGCAATATTGTAGTTGTGATGGTCCATTAAAAAAAAAGCCAGAAGTAAGATTCATTTAACAATATCTTTTCATCAGACCAGCTCTATAGTTGGGAGAGAAGTCAGACATGCTTTTGGGCACAAAATGCCATTCCTCAGGTTTGTGAAAGAATCAGGTATAATCTGAGCTAAATGCCAAAAGAACAAGAGTAATTGTTCTAATCGGCGTCTTCCTGATGGCACTGCTGACTTCCCTCTCTCTTCCACTACTCCCCACCTAATTCTGCCTTATTGTCCCAATGTTTCCGAGGACATTTGACTAACAGTCTCCTTGGGGGAGAGGGTATGTTTGCCAAACAGAAACATCCTTTTTGGTGCGTGTCACAAGGCCTCTAGGCCAGGAGACGCATGACATTTGCTGTGTTTTGTAAGTGGAACTTTTTTTTTCCTAAACAGAGCACTTCAGAATGGGCCTAATTATAATGGAAACTGCAAATTTCCCCTCTCCCCTCTGTAATATTTTCATTGGACTGAGGCATTTTGTGTACATCAGATTATATAAGGAGAACACTGGTGTGTGCCACCCTTTCAGAGCCCCCTTCTCACAGGAAAAGCAGCCTGGCTGGCATGAGCTCCAGGGCAGGCTGGACAAGGCATTTAAAAGTAACACCACTGAGACGCACTTCTGTGCCCAGGCTATACTTCTGTACTAGGAAGGTGATGGTTTGAATGAATAAACAGAAGGGCTGAATAATCCATCAGGACATTTCTCTCTGACTCCTACTGTTCTAGGTTCCAAAAATCATGACTCACCTACAACTCCCACTGAAGCCAACAGCCTGGTCAACAGTCCCAGAGAAATCAATGGGAGTTTTCTTCATTTTTAATTAAAAATTGAAGACCAACAAGAGAGACCAAGGGGAATTCACACCCCATTTGGTTTTTAACTTTTCTCTTATAATAAAAATCTCGCTTGTGGTCTCCCCATCTAGAGGGACAAAAACTGACCCAGTAATTTTGCCCTCTGCCAGATAGCTCAGATAGTGGGTAAAAGTTGATTCTGCCCAGAACTGTGGGATGATGCACAGGAATGCTGGATGGATACAGAAAAAGGGCCAAGGACCCAAAGCATCTAAAGCATGAAACCCTATGCATTTTGTCCTCTTCCATTAAGTCTCTTTGCTGACTCTGCCTGTCATTAAGACACTGGAATGTCACTATGTTGCCCTGCTGTCTGCACTGAAATTCTCTGATCAAATTAGTAGCAGTGTTGCACTTTTCCTTCATTTCCTGTGAAGAGAATGACTTCAGTCCATATGCATCTGCACTATCCTGTAAACCTGACTCCCATGGGTAATCTCATTTAAATTCAGTGGAACAATTAATGTGAGCAAAAGGTACATGACTTGGGCCCTGGTGAGCCATTTAGCCTATCTTTTTAAGTTCTACAGATATGTTTTCCCATAGGTTTTGCGGAATAAAGTGAGCTGAGAGCTGTTAAGTATTTGATGGACATATTAAAATATTGCCCTGAGACTCGCGTGGCCTCGACTCTCTTCTCTGATGTGCAACAGACTCCCTTTGCGACCACGGGCAAAATCATTTAATCTGTGCTTTAATGGCTCATCTGTAAAATGACATCCTTCCTTTGTCACGGTTAGTCTGACTGAGGACTCTGTAGGATAGGAGCTCTCCTATTAGTATACATATGACAACGAACAGAGCTAGTACCTCAGTCTTGGTCAGGACTTCCAGATAGCATAGAACACAATTAAACATTTTAATTGCATCCTTTATAGTACATTATACAATAGAATTCATGGGCTAAAACACCAAGCCCAGGAGAAGTGTGCTTGCCCATCTCTTCAAATCCATGTAAATGGATAAATATGCGGATAGCTAATTGTGAAAGGTGCAGCGTAAGTACTCCAGTTGGAAGGCAAAGACAGCAGAGTTAAGGTCCATTGTGCCCTATGGGATTAAGAGAATCTTACTGCCTGCCTGTTCGACAATATGAATTTGGATTCCTGTTTGAACCATAAGAGCCTTTTTCACTCTCCAGTAGCAGAGATCAATTTCTATAAACGGGATTAAACAAGTTTAATGACCCTAGAGACACATTTCAAAAGCTTGGGAACTTGATGTTCAGCATTCAAAGAAAAAGGAAAGAATGTAACTGGGAATGAGCAGCCACTGCTAAAAGTTTCCACGTTTGGGAAGCAACATGTTTTCTCTGGTCACGTGGCAGGAATGATTTTTGCAGGATAATAATGTTCCATTTTAAAGGCCTTAAACACTATATTGGCAGCACTCTCACCCTACCGCAAGTCTCCTTGGCAGTATGGGACCACAAGGGCACATCTAAAGGTTTTCTTAGTCTGAACTACTCCATTTTTTTTTTTTTTTTTTTTTTTTTTTTTTTTTTTTTTTTTTTTTTTTTTTACACGTAATTAATTTTCCCTTCCCTTCACCAAACCACAATGGCCTGGACGAGTTTCACCTATTCCTTTGGTTTTACAGCATGTGGCTTTGATTTGGCAGATTTCAGTTAGATTTTATGCTATGCATATAGGAGCAAAGATTTTAAAGGCAGTTTTGGGACAGAATCTTAAATCTAGAGAACCAACCAATAAGTCTGAGATCCAAATGAGTCCTAGGCACAGGAAATCCGAACCCAAATCTGGTCTGGATCTGTACAAATGATCCCTAGACTTATAAATGGGCTGAATCAAGACTCCAGAGCTGAATTTAAGCCCATCTTTAGTACCAAACTGCAATAAGACATCCATCCTGGAATTTTTCTTAAGCTTTTTCATTATTTAACAATGAGTCAATAATTGTTGAAATGACAGTCTAAGGGAAGGGGTAAATTCAGCATTCACAGATATGCTTAAACAAAGATTTTATCTCTTCCTAAATCATGTGGTCTTGTTCAACCAGAAGCTACTGGGTAAGCAGTCTCAGTTACAGAAGAATAAAGTCCTCCCCACTGCTGAGCACTACTTTGAAATATCTCCACCTACCTTACAAAGGAGGTCCCACTCTCTCATCATAGTAACACCTTTTGCCCTTTAAATCTCTGAATATTTGTAATGCCATAACCATTTAGTTTGGCTCCCTGCTTACACAAAGACAGGGAAGTCCAACTTTCCCATGTTTAAGACTTATTGAACTGTTGCTTCCTGTGCTTGTCTTTTTAAAAGCTAGCAGATGAATGCTAAGTGTAGAAGGAGGAAACCTCTCCACCCCCAATACTATTGTAGCTGCTGTCATTTCCAGCTGTATGGATAAGGCGTTAGTATCAATAACAATCCTGTGCTATTAAGAGATGGATTGAATGGTTGTACAGGTATCTAAATATTTATGAACCTGTGAAGCCAATAAAATAAAATTATATCAATCCAACAATTTTGGTCCATACAATTACTTTTCTGCTATTCACCAAAATCAGGACAAAAATGTATTACCAAAAAAAGGTAAAAACATTTGTTTTGACTTCAATATTGCATATGTATCAGAAAAGAGAATGCAAAAATATTACAATATTTTAATAACATAAAAGACAATTGTATCTTACCAAAATGGAAACAGTCTTACCATTCCAAAGGAAACTGTCCCAGAATTTTAGTTCTACAGGAAGTTTCAGCTTCTTATTCCAAATTGGAACCCAACTTTTTAAAATTGTGGAATCTCCTATGAAATGAAGAGCCCCGTTTCTATCCAGGTCTAACTGCAATTCCCACCAACTTCCAGTGAACCTTGTGCTTAGGTCTTCAAGGGCAACTGGGGGCCTCAGCATCTGATTCTAGCTCATGGGACTACCCAAGTTTGGAAGAAACTTCCCTGTTCATCTCAATGGACAGTTCTCCAAAGGCAGTCAGCACTGATGGCCCATTGCATTCTCATCCTTACCTTGCCCAAGCTTTGCACCTGTGATAGCTTCCTTGGCACTCCCAAAGCCCAGCTCTCGGCAGACCACACTGGCTGAAATCAGGTTCCAGTTATCGTCACAAATAGTTCCCCATTCCCCATTTTTCAGCACTTCAACTCTTCCTTCTCCAGTATTGGCCCCACCTCTCAGCCTGACCAAGGGCTGCTGCAAAGAAGAAGAAAAAAAAACAGATGCAATGTCACTTTTTATGAATGAGTATGGTGCAGGTAGCCACCACCTTCTATTCAGTTTCTGCTTGGTAAAGACCACGAGCCTTACCAAGCTACTCATAAGCTTGGCCATGAGCCCAAAGTTTCAGAAGCAAATACCATGAGATACTCCCAAAGTGGTCCAGAAGGAGCAAGACATTTACAAGAACTAGTCACATCTGAAGATGTTTTAAGTACATAGGGAGAAGAAAGAAGGCCCCAGGAAATGTGGGGCCTTTGCAGGACAAGACGGGGAATCTGGTTGTCACGCCAGATGACAAAGCCAACATATTTAATAACTTCTTTGCCTCTGTCTTCCTCAGTAAGGA